CGTGTGCTCTTCCGATCTCCCCAAAACCCCAAAACCCCTGAAAATAGATTTTTAATGCATTTTTATGATACAGTTATAAATGAATATTCAGAAAGTTTGTATAAATATTAATTATATTGAAAATGCTCTGCTCATTCTTTGAATCTAATCTTCCTATTTTACTCAATAGTTATATTGATATGTGAAGAGTCTTCTGATGGATTTACTACAGATGATGTCCCAGCTATCTTAGACTTAAACATATCTAGAAAATTCTTAAAATCTTCTTTAGTCATAGGCTTTAAATCTTAAGCTGATTTGGTTCTGTTGATCTTTGGAGAAGTTTGCTTAATGTTACTTGACTAGTTTTCTTAGTTATCCAAATTTTAATTTTAACTTTCAATTATCTTCAGGTGATTGGGGTTAAAGGACTCTCTCTTGGAATTGATATTTCTTTTACTTCCTTATACTTTTTTAATCTAGAAATTCTAGACTTTATTTTCTCTTCTCTCAAGCATTTTAATGATTCTATCATTATTCTTAGAGAAATAGACACTGTCATAATCCTATTGTGATTGAGGATCCTTAGTTTTACTCTTTTTTGCACTACCAGATGCGAGTATCATTCGATCGTGATTGGATTTATTAAGACTTTGATTTGACTCTTCCTTTAATGCTGATCCAAGATATCTCTTTCTATTGCTATTATCTTATTTAGAATCCTTATCATCTTCAAATCTTATAGGTGATTTACTTTTGACAGCGCTGTTTCTGAACAATGGATTAGGATGATCACTTGAATTAGTTGACTCTATAACCTAGATATTTGAAAGAGCGCCTGCACTACTCTCGCTGTTTTTCAAGATAGACTTATTTGATGTGGACTACTTCAAATGAGGCAGCATGCCTCTGTTTTTGGAATGCTTATTTGTTAGATAATCTGAAGGCATTATTGAATTAGAAGAAAAGTAAACAAGTTAGGCTGGCTTTCTGGATTCTTTTCTTGAGGTAGATGGTTAAGCTAATGATTTCTTATTAAGTTCAGAAGCATTTTATTATTTATATGAAGTAGCAGGTCTTTCTTAAAAAGAATCAACCTTAATGTTTTAATGAGACTAGTAGTTAAAAGCCTAAGCCAGTCTATCTGAGGACTTCTAAAAGCGATTCAAATTCGATTTAGCAGGAATCACAATTTTTCCCTCTTTGTCTATCATTCCATTCAGATACAAATTCTTCCTATGCTAAGCTCTTTCAAAGAAACCTACAAGATGTTTGTCAAACAACCCATTGTATTGAGGTAACTTTGGCTTAGTGGCTTTCGTACAATCCAAAACGAAATCTCTTGTCTTAGATTATGCTTTTGAATCAGATGTAGGTTAATTTTTTTCTTAAGAACTTGCTCTAAGATTAGCATTATTGGACGCAACAATATTATGTGGATCTTTGGTGTTTCCAACTAGGACATTCGATTCATTTCTTTTCATTTCAACGTTATTATAAAATGTAATTTAAACTTTGACAAAGCAATTATATCAATCTGCGAAAGTTTTCACATCATGGGGTTTTGGGGTTTTGGGG